ATTCACATTTACCATCTCCACGTCATTCATGATATTACAGACTTCTGCCATGTCAGCCCTTAGTGTAGCACTGTACTTAGGTTACCTTTAGCTGCATGGGATGGCTTCCTGTACCACTATCACTTTCTCTTCCCATTCTTTGTGGGGGTCTTTGGAGATGGCTCTTGAGGAAAAGCATATATCTCTCTCTCTAAAATTCTGCTTAAGTACTTAGTCCCTCCATTTGCAAAACCCGCATCTACAGAGAAATTGCTGTGAATCCCAGCAGGGCTGCACAAAACAGTAGCGACCACAGCCAAACTGAGGAGGGTTTTGTTCGTTTGGGTTGGAGGTTTTTTGAAGACCCAGGGTGGTATCAGTGTAACGCTGAGCTGAGAACTTGTGGAGACACATATACCTGATGTATGAGCTGGGTCAAGAGCTGGGTGCTGTCCTCAGAGAAAAGAGTGAGGAAGGCATTCAAGCTGACCCAAATAAAGAGTGGAGGTGAAACTTCTGTGTGACTTGTTTCAGAGCACGTCCAGCGTCTGTCACATGTGGAGCACACCCAGGTAGATTGATGCCAGCTTCTTCCTACATCGTTAGCATAGCATGTCCTTGTTATCTTCTTCATTGGCTAGCCTGGGCTAAGTATTAGGTGAGTTTCTCTAGTAAGCAGAAGTTATCCTTTGTGTAGGTATCCTGATGGCATTTTGACCATGTTGTTCAGACATTGCCTAAGGTGGTGGAGGAAAGCAGAGGAGAGTAAAATCCCTGGTGCAGTGATTCTTGAGGCATTTTAGCCAGAGACAGAGAGAGTGTAGGTGAGAAAAAGAATGGTATTTTGATTATAGGCTGCAGACAAGTCCAACTTGACGGTGTGAACAGGCTCCTGCCTATAATTATGGCAATGTGCAGGAGCAGGAAGAGTCTTAAGAAAATAATGTCAAGGATGGAAGGAGGATAGAGAATGTGGAGATCAAGTATGGGTGGCATTATAACCAGCTCTCTGCTGGTAGGAGTCACATCTGCTGAACTTGCATCCACTGTCAACACTTGTCAGAGCAGAGCGCTCTTCGCAGTGCTCGGTTGTCCTGGAATCACTTGGATAAAAGGGATCAAGTTCTCCTTGTGCAGACAGTCAAGTAGGCAGCGTAATGTTGTAATTCTGACTAAGTTGTCAATGCCATTATCAAGTCAGTCTTATAGGCAAGATGAACAGCACTTGAGACACACTATTGCACGTTCAAGTAGTATAGAAATGGCTGTTTGTGCTTGCTTTTTGGGATGGGGGGAGGAACTGTGTTTAATTTGGATGCCTTTTTGAGGGATTGTCTTTTGACACCTTTCAGCTGCCTTTCGTCAAAGGCTTGAAAGAGTATTCCGGGAAGCATTGCTGTATGCTTCCTCTGTTCTTAAATAGTCCTTTTGCTGTTAAAAACAGGACAGTAGGCAAGATGGACATCTCATCTGACCTGGTTCGGCTTTCTTATGCAATTTGTGCTTATGTAAGTAATCTGTCTTCTGTGTAATATGAAACTAAGTTGTCTCACATGCTGCCTCTCCTGGAATACAGCTTTATTAATTTACACATACTATATGCACTAGAACAGCGTTGCAACATCGCAGAACCTGATCGCTGAGCACAGAGCTAGAGTGTGATTACTTTGTGATTAAAGATTTACCAAATCAAGTATGTGTTATACAAGGTAGTTGCAGGATCAGAATTGCTATTCTGAGCAGATGAACAATAATATAAAATACTTTTGACGTATTTGTCTTTATGAAACATCACAGGACACATTTCCTATTTGAAAAATAATTTTAAAAATCCTTTTCAAATGTAATAATATACTTCTTTCTCCTTCCTGTTGTCAGTGTTTAGATCTCCCAGTGATCAATTATACTTACTTCTCTCACTCCATTGAGAGATACTTTGATTATTCCTTGTTAGATATTGGAGAATGGTTTATTTTATAAATAACACAAATGTGTATGTTTATTAAAATGAAGAGTGTCAAGGGTTTCTCTTTTCTGATGTTGACCATTGGTGCCTTGAAGTCTTTCCAACTATCTGTGGTGATAGGAGAGCATTGTCAAAAGGCCAGGATATATGGAATAGAATAGTTTAACAAGCAATCATGGCTACTTGGCTTTTAAAAGCATGAATCTTGATCAGTTTCAGCAATTAATATTTTTGTCTTAAAGATAAGATAGGGATATTAAGGCTTGATATAGTTGGTTAGAAACTGGTTAGAATTAATGTTCTGTAAAGTATGTAAAGCAGCATAAGAACCATTGGTAACTGTTTACATGCTATTAATAATTAGCAACCTTCATACTAGTCTGTTAGGAAAGAACCACACATTGGGTACAATAGAAACTCCACTCCATACGGTTGGGTTCAAATTATATTTGACTTGGACAATAGGGCATGAATGGGGCTCATTTGAGTTTCTGCCACTGTAAACAATGAGATGTTGGAATGTTTCATTTGTTTATTGATTTATTTATTTGGACAGGTGCACGTTGATCATATGAAATAATTTTGTATTCAAATATAGGCAGAAAATGGCTTAACAAACATTGTCCAGTCAGAGTGTATGATGATAACTAACATCCTGAATGGACAGACTCAAATTATTTTAGTCTGTAACTGACTTTGAATTTGGATCTTAAACTAATCAAATCATATTAAAGAGAAAGAGCTTTATGTGCTCCCCAGCCACTTAGAAAATAGAAAATACAGATTTTATTTTCTGATTTCTTTCTTTTTAAGTACTAAGTTCTTTCTTTTACTTTCTGTCCAAAATTATGTGCACGTCTGTGAGGTAGATTCTGTTAATGCTAATGGGGCTCATCCTTAAGAAGAGGTCATTCAAGTCTGATGGATCCCATCTGGATGATGGTTGTTCTCTAGGGTGTAATTTTCCCCAGCTATTTGAAACCCTTTCATAAGTGCTCCAAAGCAGTCAGGTTCTATAATTTGCAAAATGATGGCAAGAGGAAAGAGCAGGGAAGATTGTTGCTGGGATCACATGTTAGGAAGTAGCATCACAGGACTAATAGCCTAAATGAATGCAAGGAGAGACTTGATTCAGGCTTTTTTGTCTTCTTCATCAACGGGACACCCGCATCTCTTCCAAGTGGACACTACAAAGGGAGAATGGGTGATGGTAGCATGTCTTACCATTTGGGGCAGGGGAAGGTTGAAGCGAGAAAGTATGAATTCATATGGAGAAGACATTATTCTTGCTCCTCAGTTTCCCAACTCACTCATGTTAAATAGAAAATTGCACAACAATATGCAAACAAGAGAAGATCCCACAAATACATGTCTTACAGCTAGAAATGAACCTACAAAAGGTTTAAGCAGACCTTAGACACCTTAAATTATCTTACCACACAATATAGCCTATTCTATTTGGTTCAAGTATTGCAAATATGTGTTGTGTCCTAGTCCTTTCAAAGCTGTTCCCCTGTCTCTCACCAGGCGGAACGGATTGGATATACGCTCAGCTTGATAAACAACAGCTTTAATATTTCAGTTCGTGCTGAGAATTTGCTGTCTTTATTTCTCTTTCAACATTATATTGCATTTAAACAATGACAGAGCTTCTCTTCTAAGCCACACGTTTGATTCCTGTCAGTGCTAACAGAAGGTACGCGCGGACACCAATGGAAGAGTAGACTAGAGTTTCTCTTGAGGTGAACAACTGTTTATAATTAGAGTTGTGGGAATGAAGGAAAACCCGGCTAGCAAGCCAACAGTCACTCGTCCAAAAAAGCTTGGTAAACTCATAAAGCTCAGGAGCTTAATCTCTGAACCAGAGTGCTTGTTATCTAATCCCCACCAGCTGTTGTGTACTTGGTAGCCATGACATCTGTAATAGAGCTGAAGGGCCTGTCTATATTGGTTGGCACCTTTACCCACCAGTTGAACTTGCTGCTTCTTTCGTTGCTCACATTTACCTGCTTTAAATCATTAACCAGTTGCTCGGGGTTCGATCATCCATTTAACCATACTTTGTAATACAGAGCTTGTGCTGCTTCTCACATTAAGCATATTTTAGGTATGTGGGTCTTCAACAGTTCTAGTTTTTGCCTTGCTCATAAGAGAAAGGTATCAACCAGAAGAATTTCCTCTGGTTGCATAGTAATTCCTTATATAGACTTAAAACTGACCTTGTTGGAGTGAAATATCTTTTGAGTTGTATTTCAGCTGAAAAATACTGTCACACTTCTAATAAGCAGGGTAAAGAATTATATACATGTCTCTGTTAAGTGGTGTGTATGAATTGATATAGGTGATTATAAAAGATGGGATATTAATGTAAGCAACTGTGTACGTGATCATTATAACTGTGCAAGAACTCTTGTTTTCAGGGATTGGTTTCAGCTGTACTGTAGCGGGTGGCATTCTTTTAAGATAGCAGAGAACAGAAATTGGCCCAACTTGAGAAAAGAATCCATTTTAAGTCTCCCAGTGTGTGCTGTGATTTCAAGCCTGCTGTTTGACACTATCCCTACTACAGACACTATGCCCTACTGCAGAGTAACAGCTGTTGGGCCTTGTAAGGGGTTAGAGGGAAGGATGTCTTGTTCCTGGATCCCAAATGAGTTTACTCAGGAGCTAAGCTCTGAGCTCCTAAACCCATTTCTGGATGAGGAAAAACTTTGATCTATGGGTTATTGTACTGGTAAAAACTTAGATGCTTATGGCTTCCTAGCACCTGAATGATTGGATTGGGCGTCTAAATACTGTGGCCAAAATTGGCCACAAAGACTACCATAGTCTTCAGTTAGCTGTCAGCATAATATTGTGAATCTGAGATTTTGAACTGTCCTAAGACAGTTCTCAGCCTCTGTAATACTTATTGTCAAAATCCAGAATAATGGTCTCATAAATAAAACCAGCTATATGAAGTTTTTTTGTCTGTTAAAATTTTGTTAAATTTCATTATAGTCGGCTTTAATTTGGAATTCATTTTACTGATGGATTTTTTTTTTTTTCCCCCTAGAATGGCACTAAGAAGTTCTGGGATTTTATGAGGACACATGACAGGTAACAGACGGAATCACATTATTTCCTTTTGTCTTTATGTTGTTTCTCTTCCACTGGTTAAATCTTGTTGGTGTGGAGTTGCTTCTTTTTCCTCCAATTTCCTCTTCAATTCTCACTTCTTCTGTAATACTTATAATAATAAAATAGTTCTCTACTATTTTATGCAGAATTAGCAGAAATTTTAAGGTCTCCTCGTGTTTTATTATGTTTTCAGTAAGTTTTTTCTCTGGATGATTTTTCAAATATTAGAGTTTTGGCATATAATGTATTGCACATTTTACTGGTTACATAGAAGATGCAACTGAATGTTTGGATTGTATGAAATTTTCTTTTTTGAGCATGAATATATCACCTGAAGGAATGACTCTGCACCCCACATACTTAACCCTGTTTTTATTTGTGCCATTAAATGGTCTAGTCCCACATAAGTGACCATACTCTCTCACCTGTGAATATATAATCCCAGGTATTATCCAAATATAAAGACTGTTAAAAAGCAATCTAAAGTTATGGTCATACTGTCTGATTTTTTTTTTTTTCAATGGCAATTACTTTGAGTAAGGTAGGGATTATGTTTTACGTTTGAGCAAATCCTAGTATTATGCTAACTTTTTTATTTTAATCCCCTCCATCACTGCTATATAAGGGTGTTTTGGGCAAAGCCTATTTCAAGTAACTTTACAAATGCATGAAACCTTTCTGTTCTGTACACCAAAACCCTCTCCTAAGCACATGGGAAGAAAAGCATGGCCAGCAACTTCGTTCTGTCTTTACAAGTGTATTTCTTTTATCAGGGAAGAAAAGCAGTTAACTTCTGATTTCAAAGATCAGTTCATGCAAAATTATAACAAATAGGATATAAATGAAACAGACCCAGTCTCAGAGCTACTAAATACTAAAATATGTTTAAGTCTTTAAGTATAAATATTTAATCTTGTCACTGAAAATTCAAGTACTAGAAGATAAAAATAAAGAGCAAACGTAATGACTTTTCCCTAGAAAAAGCTTTTCGTAATCTATTAAATGTAAAAAATGTAGCAAAACACTAGTAGCAAGAGAAATTATGACTTACAACCAGAACCATATTGAGAGATTTATTATTCTTGTGCGTGAAGTAAGTAGGTAAAATCAATTGCATTTTCAGATTTTTTTTTTCTGTTGGAAACCTCTAAATCCTTACATGGAGTCTTTTTGTGTGTAGGTATCTGGGCAGACATAAAGTGATAGCAACACTTTTTATCAATTTAAAGATCAAGAAGGTAAAAGTTCCATGAAGACTGGGAAAATAGATAGAGTGAAGATGCCTGTGCTGCTTGAGAATGAGGACAGAAAAGGGAGTGATATTTCAATACTGAACTTCACACTTGCTTTTGGAATTTGCCTGGAAGACAGTTCTGTCTTTGCACTTTGTCTATCCATATGGGCATGTGCCTGGATTTATGATTGCAGATACAAAGGCTGAAATGATAATTGATTGCTGGAAATTTAATATATGCCCTGTACTTTCAAGCAAGTGAATCCAGCCTCAAGTCATAGCGCTGAGAACATGACTTCCAGACGAATAATTTGTATGAATATTTTAGTTTAAACTTTAGGTTATCGCTTTGTGATAACGTGTGAATATATGCAACTAACTGAGTGGGGTAAATATTAAAGGATCAGTTTTCCATGAACTTCTTGGGAACAGTATTTGTGAAAGACTTTTGTGGACATTTTTAAAATAGTTGAGAACATAACTGTATAAAAAGGCTACGGCCACATGTCATGCCAGTCATCTCTGGTCACATAACATTTGTTAGCTTCAGATGCACAACAGCTGCCATCCTAACTTATTAGTGGCTACTGTTGAACTGGAGAATGTCTAATGCTCTTTCACAAGTAAATTCAATGCAACTTCTGACACCAAAGGTAATAATGTGAACTTTCTGCATAGGAAATCCATGGTTTTACATAAATTCTATTTGTGAATACGAAGCCAATTCTTATTAGATAAATTGGTTAGGTTCAAAATTCCTTATAATGCATTAAAGCCCTACATTTTACTGTATTTTAGTGGGACAACTGCGATGCTAGTTATATGGAAAAGACACATTGTCTAGTTGCTGAAGATATAGAGGACTTTATGCTTAGAAGGGTCTTAGAGGTTCATTACTCTTAATGAAGGATAAAATTTTGAAGTGGAGGGGTTTCCAGGACACATGTCCTGTTGGTCAGGATTTCCTCGTAAGTATGTCTTCTTCAGGAAGATTATTTTCCATAATACTTTTTCAAAAGCATTCAAGACATTTTAATTCTGAAAATGCTGTAACACTGTTAAATGCTCTATTTTTACTAAGGCTGTTCACGTAAATTGCACATACATATAATTTACATATAATTGATATGTTTAATGAATTTAATGATGCTGAATAAAAAAAATTACTGTGCTAATCATATGAAAGCAGACATTGACTCTTAACTGATGTCTTTATCTGCCATCCTCTTTCAGCAGCACAAGTAAATGTGTGCTTAAGACTGACTTCCTTGCTGTGTGACAGTGAACTGAAAGCTTGTGTGCTGGGTTCCTTTGGGACACCAGTGATTGGTCTTGTTTCAAATGAGGTCAACACAAGCCAATAGTCAATAGATTTGTATCAGAACATAGGCTTGATACAGGAAAATATTTAGCAGGAGAGGTGAAGTTATTTTGCATAAATTTATCCTTTCCAACTGTTCAGATGAACAGCTGATTAAATTATACAAAGACAAAACCATGAGGACTGCAGCAGTCATTTCATGCAACTTAGGTGTGAGTCACCTTTTAAAATCTCACAATATATTGCAGTGGAACAAGATCTTTTAACGGTAAGCAAGCTGGCGTAGCACTAGCACAAGCTGAAAGAGCAGATTTTTGTTAGATAGTACTTTTTTTTTTTTTCCCCTTTTTTTTTCTTCTTAATCATTGTAGATCTGGACTTGACTCTACAGCGTGTGGCTCCTGAGTTTTCTTAAGACCAAGACCATTCAGAACTAAAGTATCAGTCCTGAAGTCACCTCTGCTTTCCATAGTTTGTAATTTATCCTGAACAAGTAATTGCTTAATGTCAATCCCTCCATGCCACTCAAAGACAAAAACCAACAAAACCAACAAGTTTTGTGCAAAATTATTACTGGTCACAGAATAAATTGTTATCACGGTAGACGTCTAAACTCTGTTCTGTCAAAAGTCAACTAAGTCCCAGGATAAACGAAAGATGTGGCATTTCCTACTGTACCTTGCTTCTAATTGTAATGGAAGGAAGACACAGGACATAAAAGACATATGCATGGAGAGTAGTTAAGTCCTGGAATGCTTTGCCCGGATAGGCTGAGGAACCTCCATCCTTGGAGAAACTCAAACCTTGACAAGGCTCTGAGAGATCAGACCTAACTTAGAAGTTAGCCTGATTTTGAGCAGGAGGTTGGATCAGATGATCTTCCAAAACTCTCTTCTAACCTGAAGTTTATAAGCGGATTAAATACTTAATGAATGTTACAGTTTCCATCTGACAACTGTCAAACATTTGTAAGCTTGTCAAGAAATCTGTCAATTTATAAGCCATTTTTCTATTGGAAAAAACCGCTTTCACTACCATGTTTGTCCTGCAGAGTTACATTTAAATTAATCTTTCTTTGAAACATGCAGATGAACACTAGTAGAGCTCATTGCAGGATTTTATTACGTTGTCAGAAACAACTCTGAAGATTACTAAAAATGAATGACAAAAAGCAAAAATACTTGACTACCTCTTTTTGATTGTAATTATTTAACGAGTTTATTGAGGTGCTGCTACATAAACGAGTTAGGCAGCAACACAGCAAAAGATGCTTTCTGTAGTTGTTTTATGTAGTGCTTGCTTTTCTAACGAGTTTACTTTTCCTCTGAATATTCAGCTGGTGTGTTTGCTCATTATTAAACTTATCCTTATGAAAAACAAGAGGAGTGCAAGCAATGAAAATTCAAATGCAAGGTGTATTACCAGGTCCTTCTTACACTTGGGTCTGCTGGAACTAGTCAGCAATTTGTGGTGGTGCCATTTGCAGAGACGGGAGTTGTTTTTTTTTTTTAAGGTCAATGCTTTTGAAAATAAAAAAAACTTGATGAGGAGGACTCCTTTTTGCTTAGCAACATGGTTTAGTGGTGGTTTTTCTCAGTGTTAGGTCAATGGTTGGACTGCATGATCTGAAAGGTCCCTTCCAACCTAGACAATTCTATAATTCTGTGACATTTTCCTTCTGCGAATTTATGGTGATTTCCTGCCAGAAATAGAAACATACCAAATATTACAAAGTAATCATTGATGCCTGTAACAAAAAAAATTATTCTCTAAAACCAGACTTATGTTCTAGTAATATTCTCTCTCATCCGAATTTTGCTATATTTAGTACAGTAAGAGCCTGAAATGTAATACTTAAGTTTTACATTCATCTACTTTATAAAGCAATGGACCAAGTTCGTTTCAGGTTTCAGCAACTCCCCTTAAACAGATTCAAGGCTTTTAAAAGACATAATTTGGGAACAGATGAAGGTCAGTGTACAGTCATGTGCTCACTTCTGTGCTTTGAGTAATAATGTTCAAGAACAGAAATGTAACTGTACCTTTTGCTAGTTGACAAGTAAAAGGACAGCTTTCCAATTGCATTCTGAACGGTTATAAAGCAAAATTAGGGCTAGTTCTCTATTTAAAATAGGAAAATTTCACCATAAAGTACACTACCTTTAAAAGAAACAAAATTGTGAGACTGAATTGCTTGCAAGATTGTTATGAGTTTCTCTCAACCCTGAAAATAATCATGTGACAAGGAAAAGGCATTTGGACCAAAAAACTTACACAACCCTGCATGTGCATTGCACCCATTCTATGATGTGTTTTTATGTACAAAAACATGACACAGTGGCTCAGTAATAATTCCTAAAGATTCTTAATGGAAAAAATTCTTTTCTTATCTCTCTAAGAAGAGGACAGAATAATACTCCTGCC